TTAAACACACGTGCTATTTCAACAGAAACTCCAAGCTCACAAAAAAGGCTTCCCTGAGGCTCCCAAGTACCTATATAGTGTATACCTGGAGCTAAAGGTACCTATATAGGAACCCCTTTAAAGCCTAGGTGTAGACTCTGTAGTTACATGGCTTGTGCCCCAGTTCATCTTGAGCTACGAGGAGGGCTTTGCGGCTATGACCAGCAAAACCTGGCCCAAAGTGGCTCACTGATGTTTGAGCCTCATAGGGCATACTCCCAAAACCCCCTAAACCCTATAGACCCTAAGGGTTTTGAGCTTAACCTTTGTAGCGCACACAAAAGGTTACCTACTCTACCACTACGAAACCCTCTTCACGTTAGGGCTGACGGTTTGGAACCCCAAAGCATCCTTAGCGCGCCTCGATGGTGTACTCTCGGTTCGGGGAGGCGATAACGTAAGTCCGGTGATCTGCAGTGACGTCGCGGTGCTTTGGGAGGGGCACACCCTCCTGGTCCAGCAACTCCACCTCCAGGTCGCCGAAACCAAGAATGCATATGGGTAGTTCTCCAAATTAGGGGCTCGTTTAAGGTCCTTGTTATCACTGTGCCGTCCTATATTTGGGATGCGAAAGGGGACCCTAATTTAGAGAACTACCCATATACGTTTACCCAAAAGACTGTGGAGAATGTCGGTTGTTTTCGTTCCTGCTACTGTGCCGGCATGCTTAGGTTTAAGCTACAAACCTACAAAGCTGTTGGACAACTTTGGATTACAATTTCGGCAAGGCTTTCCGAATGGCTCCAGGCGGGGGGATTGACAAAGAAAGGGTGTTGAAGAAGTGGGCTTCGAGGCAAAAGTTGCCACTTCGTCGACCTACACCCCAACTTGAACCCTAGACAACCCATTTTGTTAGGGCTCCTTGCTACACCTCAATTTGAACCCCAAATAACTCATATTGTTAGAGCTCCTTGTTAGGACCGTCAGGATATTCTTCAACTTCCCTAAACCCTAAACTCTAAACCCTAAACCCCTTTAAAATATGTAGGGTGTAGGGGATCCGGGAAATTCCTAATTATGCCGTGCTTCGGGGCTTGGGTTTCATGTTGCGGATCTCCGGTTCAGGGTTTAGGGCTTCGGGTGTGGTCAGGGCTTAGGGTTTCGGGTTTGGGGCGTAGGGTTTGATCCGGGTCAAAACTCTTGACAGCCTCAGCCTCAGCACCGGCACTGCGACGTGGATCGTTTCTGGTGCAACATGGTGCAACATAGGGGCCCAAATTGTTTGATCTCTGTGCATGTGTTTTTTTGGGGCATCTCTGTCATTAATATATTTAATTACGAAGTCTGAAGAGGATATTAGCACAGTGTAGGTTGCCATTCCCCTGTGCGACTCGGTCTTGCGTGTAGATCCAAGCAGCACCGTGCACGGTTACGACGTAGCCATAGACTAGGTCGCCGATCCAACATCAGCGACTCAAAGCAATACCATACCCCAAACCCTAAACCCTAAATCTGTTACAACAAGACGATGAGGAATAGACTGGCAAGCTTCCCCAAACCGAATTGAATGTGATAGAGCCTTGAATTGCATCTTAAACCTTCGTCCCTGACCCAAAGGGTCCTACGTACTGTTATTGGATACTTCCTTAAATCAACATCGAAACCCTACCTTCTACCATATATAAAACCCTAAACTCTAAACCCTTAAAGGAACGCCTGAAGGAACTTCGGACCCCTTGGGTGACCCATCCAATGCGACCACAGAAGCCCCGACCTCGATCCCACGCAGCATGTCCGCCATGGCGAAACAATGTGGGTCCCGTTTTAGGTCCCCAATATGTAGTACGGCACCCTTCTAAAAAAGGAGCCTGAAAGACACCCCCAATTTGGAGAACTACCCATGGGGGTCCAGACTTAGGGGCCTCCAAAAAATGTCGAATAAGGCTTCTGGGGTCCTTTATCGTATAATTATGGTAAGAACCCCCAAAAAAGATGTAATGTAGGTCATTTTATCGAGGCCCCTAAATTATCCAACAGTAGCATAAAAAGTTGTGAAGTCTCAGCCTCTGCATGGGTTATTCTCCAACTTAGGGACTTAGGGACCCTCTTAGAGTCCCTTTTGATTGGGGTCCCGTGCTATTCGGGGGCCCTAAAAAGGGGCCCAACTTTAGAGAACTAGCCATATGCCATAAAGCCTCAGACCCCTAGGAACAATCCGAGACCGCATGAATGAAGCTCTAAACCATTCGTTGCCTTCGGTTGACATGTTGATCTGGAGGAGATCCGAGTCTCAGTGATCTGGAGGAGATCCGAGTCTCAGTGATCTGGAGGAGATCCGAGTCTCAGATATATGAAAGAGTGATAAGGAGTGTCTAAGTCTAAGGCTGCCACCGGTATGCGGCGGTACGATTTGTTCAGGGGCAGCATGAAGTTTAGGTGTCTTGCCGTCTTGCCGCTGTGGGATTGTGGGGTGAAAACTTTGGGTCATGCCTTCAACCCTACCTCCAAAACAGGAAGCCCTTCACCCAAAAGCCCTGCCTGCCGGATTTTGAAGCCCGAAACCCGAAAGTCTAAAAAACCCTAAGTTCTAAGCCCAAAACCTGAGATTACAGCCGCCTCAACCCTATAGCAAGCGTCATCGTCACCCTTAGTATGACTTAGAATAACCCTGAAACACTAAACTCTAACCCCAAAACCGCCTGAACCCTAAACCCTGCACGATCCTGTAACTGCAACCCTTCAAATTTCTTCCAACCCTTATGGTCGCCCTTATGTGCCCTTATTTATAAACCTCATACAGTCCGTATTGTTAACCCTTAATACAAACTTTTAGAGGAGCCTTTTTCATATCACTCAAACACCGGCCAAGGGAACCTTCGGGGAGAAGTGGGGGGTTACTAAGCAATCAAGCCCCCTTGGACCTCCTCCCTCAAGAATCCCATAAAAGAAAGTAACCCTACGAGAGAGGTGAAGTGGGCTGCTAGGCTTCACTGACAAGAGCTACGGTTTTGGGGTTTGTGTTTAGTGTCTACAGGTTTTTTTTTCGTGTTTGCAGGGCTTATGCTTCTTGTAGGGCTTAGAAGTAAAGGGTTTAAGGTGCACGTGAGAGATTTCAATGCATTCTTCCCAGTTAGCTTCTGGATGACTACGCTCCCTGAACCCCAATCACCTAGGTTATGCATCTTCTACAAATTTTAGGTATTTGTAGGTTCTAGATTCGTTCTAGATGCTGATAATCTGCAAACCTCTCGAGAGGATTGGGCTTCAGGTTCAGGGTGTGGGGCTCCTGTGGGGAGTTTAGGCTATGGGATGCTTCGGCTAGAGTTGTCGGAACCATGTTCCCTGATTCTTTTGGCAACAAAGGCGGTGCACGCCTTCACAAAAGCTTGAGCCCATCAGGTTGCGCAAAGGGTTTTAAGGGTTTAGGGCTTTTGGGGTTTAGGGTTTAGGCTTCCGGGTTTCAGATGTTCAGGGTTGAATGCTTTAGGGTTTTAGTTGTTAATGTGGAGTTCAGGGGTCTAATGTCAGTGGCCAGGGTGCAGGGCTCAGGGGTTAGACGTTTCGATGACAAAACCTCATAAACCCTAACGCGTTTGGCTTGGCCCATTGCGCGCCACATGCCACCCGAAGGCATCGCCGGAGGCCGCGGCCATGCGTACTGCAAGAAGCTGGCGAGTCGGCGCTTCGGACCTCTCTATGGCCACTTCCGTTCGCGAGGTGCTCTGCAGTCTCCGATATGGGCGCAAGCTCTTGTCTCTCGGAAATACCACTGCGACACAACTCAAGAGTAGCTTTGGGAGCGCTCCTGCGTCTCCAACATCGAATGGCTGCAAAGCCAAACGGTACTTCTCGACAGCGCTTCCGCGAAAGAGAAAACCGGAGTAGCCGACGCCTTGACGTCCGGCTCCGGCTCGGGTTCCAGGATCTAACTGCGCCCTCGCACGGTCACGTCCCGGACAGTCTCCGGAAGCTGAACCAGGATGCGCTTCACAGACACCAGCCAGCGCAGCTCCACGCTGTGTACCCTGTAAACCCCATCTCAAGCCGTTGATGCGGCAAAGCGGTCTAGGGTTGATGGGTTTTGGGCCCTTTCAAACTAGAATGAACTCCCCAATAGAACCTTAAGACCATCTAAACGCAGCTGGCCAAAGCACAGGCGCAGCCTAAACCTAAACCGACTTCTAGAATCCCAAGTCCACTTAATTACAGCCTTTTCCCTTCAAACCTATAGTAAACCCTAACACGATCTAAAGCCCCAAACCCTAAACCCTTAATTAAACCCTAAACCCTAAACCCTACCACAATCTGACAGCCGCGGCCGAAGCACAGGTGCAGCCATAGGTTCCCGCCCGCGCGCGCCCAAACGCTGCGCAGAGCCAGGAAAGACCCGGCCAAAGCCGAGCAAACCTGATTTTAACATGATGTAGGGGCCTTAACAATCAGAGTTTTGCTTTGGAGTTTCAGGGTTCAGGGTTTATAGGGTTTAGGGTTTAGAATGGTGGGGTATAATTAATATATACTATAATTGCAATAAGGAACCACCAACATAGCCTTGGTATTTATTTAGACCCCTATAATACATAAAGGGTTTGGGGGTCAAAGCCCTGACAGTTTGGGGTTCAGGGTTTCGGGTTTATGGGGTGTAAAATGGTCCTTTAATAAAGTGGGTTCTGAAAGGGCTCCAAGGAATCTGTTCGGTTCAGAGGGATATATGGTTCCACAAGGTTTGAGGATGTTGTTCTCCCTGGTAAGGGCTTTTCTACATGGATGCTTGGCGTTTAGGGCCATGAAGGCATGTTGAGGTGTGTAGGGGTGTGTATGGAATTTTCAGAACAATGTCGCAGTGCTGTTCTATGGGCTCGCGGAGTTGCATAGGGTTTCATAGGACGAAGGGCCTAGGGTTTCAAGGATGTTTGGGGCTGGCGGTTTAGGGCTGTAACGGTTCAGCGTTTCGCAGGGCCAATCTAGGCTTCGGGTAATTTAAGATTTCAGGTTTTAAGGTGGAGCTCTTAGAGGTTTTAGGGATGTGTATAAGGGTGTAGTGTAAGGTAGGGTCCAGGCTAGGGTTCAAGCAATACCGGTTTAAGGGATGCTGGTTAGTTCAAGGGATGTCCGTTTGGGAAATAGGTGCGGCGGCTTTTTTAATGTAAGTAGTGCAGCTCTTATAGCCGCTCAACATAAATAAAGCTTACCTGTTATAGGTTTGCTTATTTCTATCCATGTATCTATCTCTATCTACATATGTTGTGCACACACACACACACCCCTGTGAGTTGTCTTGTTGGCTGTGACTGGCTTAGTGCTCCAGGGGATGATAAGCTCAAAATGACTAAGGGATAAGGTTGCAGATGGTCTATTAAATAGGTTCAGGCAGCTGCTCTTCTTTTGGGCTCGCAGTTTTGGAGCGAAGACCTCTGAATCTTTGCCCCTCCCCTGCCCACTGCAAGGCAAAGCCGAGCCCATCAACCCTTAGCATGAATTCCTAAACCTTCCCACCTCGCCGGGGTTCTAGACTTCCCACCCCATCCC